TTAGTACGCGGAGCAATCTGTAGAGCTGGAAGCTGAGAACTGGCGACGTTGTAGTGCAACTTTAGTACGCGGAGAAACCTGTGGAGCTGGACGCTGAGAACTGGCGACTTTGTAGTACAACTTTAGTACGCGGAGTGACTGGGGAGCTGGAGGCTGAGAACTGGCGACTATGTAGTACAACTGTAGTACGCGGAGCAACCTGTGCAGCTAGAAGCTGAGAACTGGCCACTTTGTAGTACAACTTTAGTACGCGGAGTATCTGGGGAGCTGGAGGCTGAGAACTGGCGACTATGTAGTACAACTTTAGTATGCGGAGCAACCTGTGGAGTTGGAAGCTGAGAACTGGCCATTTTGCAGTACAACTTTGGTACGCGGAGGAGTCATCTCTTGCGACTGAGTCATCTGTCCCTGCTGAGTCATCTCTCGCGACTGAGTCGTCTCTCGCTGCTGAGTCATCTGTGGCTGCTGAGTCATCTCTCATTGCTGAGTCATCTCTCGCTGCCCACTCATAATACACCACTCATCATACACCACTCAACACACACCACTCATCATACACCACTCGTCATACACCCCTCATCATACAAGACTCAGTATACATCACTCATCATACACCACTCATCATAACCCAACACTGGTTACAGTTGATTGTTTTGTCAACAGGTAAGTTTGTACTGAAGGTTGAAGTCCGGAGCGCGTGCGTTTGACTGGGGGACGCGCGTGTTTGAGAGAACCGGAACACTCCTATAGGTCAGTTTGTTCTTATAGGAAACTTCCGCCGCCGGCTTGCCCGGGAACTGCTTGTAGTCATGCTAAGTACAGTAGCCAACCCCCCAAATGCCCTGGCTCTTGCTGCCTGGAGGTGCTGTCATCAAAACAGGAAGAGGCGCCTGGTCGGCAGTTGGTTGCCTGAGTTGGTTGCATGCTTGATCTCCAAAGATCTTTTGATATTGGTAACGCCTCCTCAATCTAACGGATCTAACGGTGCCAGGTGTGCCGGGTGTTGTGTGAATGTGCAAGCGTTAAGATTCTAGAGCTGTGCTACTACCTGGGAATAGGAACCGGGCGAGATGTATGTCCTGCAATCCAGGGATTCGTTCCTGGAGGTCGTTCCTGCAGTCCCAAGTGACTTCTGTGCCAAGGCCCTTCTGTGGACTATGGGGGAGGGCCTGATGGGTCCTGCACAGATCATGCACGCCTTGAGGATTTGCCAAGATGAATTGCAATCCCATGCGGTCGCCGGGCAGGAATCGGAATGAATCCGTTCTTTTTTAGGCTGAGCTGAGAGCTGGTTTGTTGATGTACTTTCTGCTTTTGACATCTTTCAACTAGTGTGGCACTAAAGTCTCTTTTTCAAACAGGGCTCAACCTGTCAAAGCCCTTTTTGCATGGTGGTGCGCCACCTTGCACATAGAATTGAATCCTTTATATATAGAGGCATTATATAAACAGGTGCTTGAGAACAGCTCTTTGCCCCAAGGCATGGTTTGTTCTATCAATTTGGGGCACAGAAGATGCGCCCATCTCTTATCACGGGGGAGCACACAGCTTTGACATGACGGGGGCTCATCATGTACATTTACTCAGTATGCGAGACAATGCTCTATTGATCGAGGAGGCAAATGCCCTTCATTCGACTGTCGCTTGAGATTGCCCTTGGGACCTTGGAACATCAGAATCTAGTGGCGACCACTAAGCCTGCATCACAAGCTCTTGCATGAAGATCGCCGAGAACATGAGCGCTCACCTGCTGAATTCCTAAGCTGACAGACAAGGCATGCTGGTCATCGGGATTCAAGCCTGCCAGCTGGCGGAGAATGGACATCATCAGCGCCGGACCACCGGAGAAGATTGATTAGACAGTCGGAAAAAAGATGCGTCGCCCCTGTGCTCCCAGCATGATCACTGCATAGTCTAGTTACTAGTTCGACTTATTGAAGCATTTGGCGGAGATGGTGGAGTCAGTCCACATTGAGTGACGTCATGCTGTAAGACATGTCAGCTTGCATCCGCTTGTTGTCCAATCATGTCCAATCATCAGGCAAGGCGGCAAGACGCATGACGCATGACGTAACGAGACCTGACGTGCTTCCGTTCGACTCCTGGATCGCTCCGGCGGTTTTGGGATGTGCAGGACACATCTCCCGAACTTGTCAAGTTCCCGTGGCCCCAGCAGGACTGCAGATTGCTGCCTATTAGCTGGGAAGTTACGCCCCAAGAATGAAGAATCCCTCAACCACCCACAAGCACAGGGACTGATATGCCATGCTTTTTGATTTGAGAACTTTGGGAACTAATACGTATCATGCTGAATCATGCTGCATGATGCCTGTCAGCTATGCTTGAGGCAGATACGAGGAGACACACGAGCAGCCTACGCTGACCCGCAACGCGTCTTATTCCTTCGATTCCTTGTCATTCTTATGCTTGTACTGAATCTGAATATTGAGTGTGTAGAATTAAAATCAATCTATCTATCTATCTTTCTTTCTTTCTTATCTATCTAATATGGATTCCTGTTTGATTCTCTCTTCTACAAGACATAACCGACGCTTCCTGCAACCAAACATCGCATGCGTCCGGGAAATGCAAATGCTCCATGACAAATCTTGGCAATGCTCCTCCACATCGATCCGAAAATCCAAGAGTTTGCAAGACAACTACAAGAGCTTAAAGCAAAGTGCCACAGAACCCGTTATGATATATGGTGTTTGTTTCAGCGCAGGTGAGCTCACATTAAGTCATGTTTGTAGAGGTTGCATGACCCATTTTGTCGTCAGCTGTTTTTAGGGCCTGTTTTTAGGGCCCTGCCTAGGCAAAGTTGCTGCCGTTGGCACAGAGATTGCTGGCAGCAAAAAGTGGAACCTGTGCAATGTGCTCAGCTGGTTAGAGCGCCCACGGATAGTAAGCTATCTTGTTCATGTCATCGTCGAAGCAAGTTCTATGACTTCACCGGTTCATTTTGACCAGTAGGTGGTCCTTTTCCACATGATGCATCTCGACACTTTCCTGGGCTCAAGACGGGTGACCTGGCAGTGGTTGGCCAGCAAGGGTCTGAGACAGAGAGAGATGAAGAAGGGGACGAAGAGACATGATCATGCAGTAAATCATACACGATCGAAATCCCGGCCTGCACTGATTCGGACTTTCGCGCTTTTTTGAGTTGAGCTCGGGGTGCAACACTTGGTGCCTGTAAGGTGTCAGAGAATGAAGTGGACGGTGTGGACACTGCTGAGCAGATGCACTGTCGCCAGCTTTCTGGCAATTCCTTCTGTCAGGACATGTAGCTAGAGATGGTATAGAATTGATTTATTGTCAGTCACTCCTGCCTTTGCGTTCTTGAATCCCTGAGGACAGAGGCCAGTAAACAAACAGAGGCTCAATCGCCCATTCGAGAATTCCGCGATCCTGCAGGGCGGCTCTTCCGCCTGAACTTGAACACAGGTGCAACAGAGTGGGACAGCAATGATCCCACGCATCTCAAGGCCCAAGGCCAAGAACCAGCTCGGGAAGGCCCGCCTCGGGTCACGGTACAGGCAGGATTGAAAGAAGACAAGGCAGATGTGATGGAGAAGAGGACCGATCTCTTTAATCCACAGATCGCCGGCTCCACCAAGGACACCCAGCCCCACGCAAGTGCGGCGGTCCCTCCGCGCGGTGTGACACCGCTGCAGGACATGCCTCCTTCAAGGCCTGCGAGGATGCCTTCCGCTAGTAGGGCGACCAAGACGTTTTCGGAAGTGGTGACTTCGGGAAGCCACCCGACCAGTGGCAGAAGTCAAAGGTCAAAGTTTGGCTTTGGCCGTGGCCGTGGGTTGGATGATTGGCTCGGCTGGGGCGAAACTGCGGATCCTATCGCGGAAGAAGTTCGTGAAGACTTGGCAACGGATTTGCGGCCCAGCCCCTGGCAATCCCCAGGCTTTCCGCAAGGGATTCCAAAACTGGGAGCTCAGAGCCTGGAGGCAAAAAGGCACCAAAAAGCAGACTTCAAGCATGTCCAGAAGGATGCAGGGACTACGGCCAAGAAACTCAGCACAGAGGCGGGGAGAGATCAAGGGACCTAACCTAAGGCTTGTTTATTTGATCTTCTCTTGATTTTGGTGCTTAAATTTGACATCCGGGCCAGTAGAGAAAATTGCAATCCATGCATTGTCATACATGTCAGAACATTGGATTGTACGTTCTTGCGCACTCCCTCCCAGAAGGATCTCACGCATGTATGTAGAGCAGACCCTGGGCAGTAGCCGTTCTTGTTCGAGATGACATGCACCTTCATGCTACAAACTGCAAGCGGAGTATATTTTATTGTTGGCGTGTGACCTCAAGATGATGTGGTTGAACCATTATTGATTGGTAGTGTTGTAAGGTGAGGTGGTTTACGTGTCGGACTTGTCAGCACTGCTCCTGTCAGTTTGACTTAGAGGTGACTTGTTGAGTCTTGTCTTCTTCCGTGCGCCTTCTGGCCGCGTCTTCTCCATGTCACCTTCCGGCCCCGGTGCAGCCCTTAGCGCCTTGGCGATTGGTGGAGGCAGTGAGGCAGTCGTGCGTGGGGAGCTGACCAAAGGCGATGGTCGTTCCATTTTTGTGGCCATTCGCCAGCTGCGGTGGGGGACGCCGATCTTGACCGAAGCCCCACTCTTGCTGGTTGAAGCTGATCCTGACCGGTATTTGAAGGCCGAGGATGCCGATCCGAGGTTTGCCGAGCTTGCAGCAGCACTTGGAGATAGCTCCCGACTAGCAGCGTATGTCGCCTTTCGCCAGCTGCATGAGCGCAAGCAGAAAGAGTTTTTGGCGCTTTGGGATGGAATGGAAGACGACCCCGTGGCTTGTGCAATTCATGCTGCCAACCGGCAAGGTATTGAAGAATTCTTGCAGGACCATCCGCATTTCCGTCCCTCTGTGTATTGGAACCACGTGATTCTGGTTTCGTCAATCTTTGGGCGGTTTGGACTTCAAAATGCAGATGGCAGCAGGGCAGTTTACAGTATTTGCAGCCGGATCCAGCACAGTTGCAAACCCAATGCTGCATGGTTCACCCTGCGCAAAGGATTTCCAAGAGGGAAGCGCATGTTGCATACCATCAGCCTCAATGGAATTCGGAGGAGGGAAGAAATTACCGTGTCGCACGTTCCGGAGACCGTGCTTTTGCAACCAAAACTGCGACGCTCGTCCTTCCTTTTTAACGGGGTACCAAATCTTACTTGTCGCTGCCATCGGTGCGAAGTCAATGATGAAGAAGCGGATGAGAAGACCCAGCATCTTTTTGGGAAGCTCTCGAACCATGTTTCCACAAGGCCTCCAACAGACAGCTCTACTGCAGCAGCTCAGGAGTGCTTGGCAGAGCTGGATGTTTTGCTTCCCTTCTCAATGCAGTCCAAAGCAAAAGCCAAGGTGCTGCTGGCAACGGCCTTTGGAGAGCTTTCCCAACGAGCAGCCTGGCAGCAGGACAACCAACCAGCCAATATCATCCGATGGACAGGCTTGGATGCGGAAAGCCAAGAGCGCCGGCTCAAAGATGCCAAGCGTTTGTACGAGACTGCTGGCAAGGACTTTGAATACTTGCTTGGCCAGGACGCTTTGCCCATTTTGCAGCGAATGGAGTCAGGCTACAAGCCTGTCCAAGACCAGCACAAAATCTTGGCGAAATACACGCGTGAGAATGAAGCAGATGTGGCCAATGCGGGGCTTTCTTACGAGCAACCGCCGCAACTGTATGAGCCACAGCTTCCGTATCAGCCTCGGCCCGGCATGCCTCCATCGTGGGAGGAGCTCTTCAAACGGAGTGGCTAAGTGACAATGCATATAGAAAAGCATCACGGATGGCCACAGCAGATTGCTTTTGCTCTCGACTGTGTTTTGTTGAAGGACACTTTTGTGCAATGTTGTGCAACTCTTTGTAGTACTTTTCGTTTCAAGTAGCTAGAGCGACCCCACTTATGCCCACTCAAATAGGTCAAGGATTGCACATCAGCCCAACCTGCAGGCAGCCCATTTTGGTCGCAGCCGTCCATATCTTAGATTCAATTCGGAAGTAAGGCAGTTTGCAATACTTCGACCTGGAGCTGGTCACTTTTTGCCATTGAAAGCCAGGTGAAAGACTAATGGGACTACTGCAGCGAAGATTTGTCATTGGTGATGTTGGAATGACATTGATGCACGGGGGACGGCTGAGGCTCAGAACGTGTCCATCCTTCAGAACTGTCCAAGGTGAAATCTGCTTCCAGGGTGCGTGATTTGGCATGGGCGAGGGCACAGAAATTGAGGGGTCGCGAGACCAAACCTTCCAGCGAGCCACTGGTGAGACCTGGAGCTGTTCGCTCTGCGGATGGAGATGTGAATGCAAATGATCAAGAGCTGCTTAAAAAAGGCAGGGACCGGGGACAGGCAAAGGTAGATTCTGTTTGTTCCTATTGTCCAAGCTCATGCGGTAACACGACATACATGTGTGTTTGGGCATCTTTGGTTCTGGTTTTCAGCCTTGCAAGTCCTCCAGCCTTGTAGAACACTCTCGTCAGTCAGTATGCCTGCACGTTTGAAGACGCTGTGTCAAGGCAAGGATCTATTAGCCAAGCTTGAGCGACAGGGGCTTGATGCGGCACTTCTCAGGCAAGCAGGAATAACTGGATGATGCCAACAGACGCTCTAGGCAGGAGAGCCTGAAGAATGCTTACAGTTGGGCTGATGGGTGATGTGTGACTGTTTGTCCTTAAATCATTTAAGTTGCTGCTGCTTTGTAATTCTGGATGGGCTCAAGTTTGTAACGCTTCTGACGCTTCTGTCTAAAGTCAGTTGAGCTTGCTACAGCCAGTGGCCAGGAGTGTGGCCAGGTCATTGAAGCAAACTGTGGGTGGGTTATGGAAGGTGCTTGTGCAATAAGGTCAAAGCCATGTTTGCAATTCCTTGTGATGTCAGGCGTGCTGTTTTCAGCCGCACTTCTGCATGCGGAGGGCAAAACAAAGTGGACAATTTGCATACCCCCACCTTGGTCAAACTGAGACGTACTCAGAAGGACCTCACCATTGCCCACCTTCTCATCCCTTCCGCCACATAAGGACATTGCTGAACCATTTCATTTCAATGCCATGCACTCTCTGGATGTAGTTGTTGTTGCGATGATGTTGAGATATTTTAACTATGCCAAGTCCGTGTTCCAAGCAGCCTTTGAACTCAGAAATGCTTTTTGAGACCTTTTTGGGTCAGCAGTTGCAGTGAGAGACATCATACAATTGACAAGTTGATTCGTGATCTGGCAACAACTGCTGTATCAAGCTGCCCGACACTTGGGCCAACATAGGGTTTCGTGATGAACGCGTGTGCCATGGATGGGAAGAGTTTCCAAGAATATCTTGATAATGCATTGAATTCTTTCCGGAAGCAGGTCCTTGAGGCAGGACACAAAGTAAACACCACGTGAGAGCGAATTCTCAGGTGAAACCACGGTGAAAGACTGACGTTTGTTTTCGCCAGCGCTTCATTCACACCAAGTGGCGAGAGACTCGCTCCAGGCGCACCACACCAGCCGCTCATCATTGACTAGGACCTCCCTGACCTCATCCAGATTTTCCAGGCTGGAACCACTCTGACTCTTTGGTTCTTCTCACTGGTGTGATCCTGTTCGTCAAACACACAAAACGTGGAGCAAACATGGCGCGGTTCGTAGGTCAGAATTTCTGGAACCATTTCTTTAAGCAAACATGGACATGGACCCCTTGTTGTAGTCTTGCCACAGAGCCTGAATTTGTTCCTTCCATGTGTAGGAGTGCCCAGTGCTCAGTTGCTTGCTTGCTAGTTGCTGATTCCTTGTTTTAGGAAGGAATCTCCGAGCCCACCTAGCAAGAAGAAGCCGAATGCCTTGACTTTCCTGGGCGACCTGAGCCCATCATCCAATGACGAGGGGAACGAGGAAAAGATTGTCCATCCTCCTCTCAGCATTCGACCAGCCTTTATGATGGCAGGCGAGCCGGAGAAGTCTGGAGCAGATGACCATGGGTCCCCTGCATCAGATCCATCCCCGCCCAAGACACCAAGACAAGTGTCTTGCTCTGATGCTGCCGAAAGCATTCAGCCGCCTGAGCCGAATCATTTGCAGCCAGCACGAACCCCGGACTCGTCCAAGGCAGACTCCTACATCTCCTGCGGTTCCAATCAAAGCATGGTTCGTGCGATAGAGGAAAGAACAGGAGAGGCGAAAGCTGCAGACATTGACAGGACCGGGGGTTGCACCGTTTCATGGTGCTTGTGAATCATGGAACATGTTGTGAGTTGTGAGCCAAAATGTGCCCAAATGTCAGTGTTGTCCAACCACTCCTGCAGAGCTGGGTCCCTCGGATGTTGCCAAACGAGCTGACAAAAGGAAGCTCACTACACACACCTGGAAGTCTTCTCGGTGTTCACTTTCCCGGAGTGTTCTCATTGTTTGTGGGGAGTGTAGAAGGGGTGGCATACCATTTGGATGCATTTGCACGGAAGTTTGGGCATCTCCGAGATCTCCTTTTTTCAACCATCAGATTATAGATAATTGCAAAAACATCAAGAATTAATCAACAGGAAATATTAAGCCCGGCCATGTGTTGTCATCTATCATCATGATTATGATGATAATCACCATGATCAAGGCTGTCGTCAACATCACCACCACCATCATAATTGTCTACAATCCTCATGACCTTCGTAATCATCACCGTTATTTTTGACACCATCACCACCAGGCTATGTTTAGAGTCTAGAGTCTAGAGGCTTTCTTGCAAGACATGCGCTAGAATGATCGAAATGTCGCCGTGGCTAGCCAAAGCGTAAGTGCAGCCTGCAAATGGCCGTAATATGCTGTAATTGGATGCTTCTCGTTTTTCTGGGGAGTGTAGAAGGGTGGCACAATGGTTGGATGCATTTGCGCGGAAGTTTGGGCATCTCAGCGTCTCCTTGTGTAACTAACGGCAACAATGAAATATATATCTTATATAATCATAAAGCCAGGCACTTGTTCAACAGTCACGTTGACTGCGTCACATAATTCCACGTATGTTCATAAGTCACCGCATCACCATTGTGATTACCATCCTCATCCTAAGTGTCATCCCCATCATCATCACCATCATATACCACCATCATGGCTTGATGATGGTAACGATGATGGCGATGATGTTGCCAGTGGTGGTGATGGTGATGATGGTGTCAACGTTGATGATGTTGATGACGGCGATGACGGCAAGCATGATGGGGGGACTTACATCATCATCATCATCATCATAATTTTTCATTTGGAAGCCGTCGAGTGCAGGAGGTCGCGTTGACTCTTTCCATCATTCAAGACGGGTCGGTACTGCACAAGCCACGGATGGCCTAATCAAAATTACTTGCGAGCTGCAAGGCCAAGGGCTCTGTGGTGAGCCCTGCTTGGCGCCGCCCTTTCAGAAAAAGATGAAGCATCCCACAATTCATGAGGCATGGACAGGTGTGTTCATCCATGCTTTCAATCTCCTGGTAGCATGGTTGGCAAGCACACTGTCGTCCCGGCAGTGGGCTCCGCTCAAATTGACACATCAGCCTCTCACTCAAAGCGCCGGCAGCTGCCCACAGGGTCTCGTGGTGGTCGAAAAGCACTCTCAAAATCCTAATATTCAATGGCAGAAAACGATCTTGGGGCTTGGTCAGGTGCTATTCCTCTGTGGCTTTCATCATCTTCATCATGCTGGATCCTGGGCCAAGGCATGTAGTCCTGCTCCGCCTGTTTCCCACACCTGGGCTTGACGCATCTCGTCTTCTTGTCTGTTTCCATGGCCATGCCATGATGCAAACGACGCAATAAGACTCCTAGCTGCAACAGTACTGGGCACTCATGTGCTGCAAGATTGCAAACTGAACATTGAGGTGTGGCCTGGGTCATGTCGAACAAGTAATTATCGATAGTATAGTGACCCTCGAGTGTAGTCCCGGGAATGTTCATGTCTGAGGTGAAGATACATATGTCACTAGCACTGACCGAGCGTCCACATAAGGAGCAGCATTGACTCAGAGCAGCGCAGAGAGTAGCATCGGCAAGGATGGAGGCGAAGCGTCCCTACACCAGCAATTCGTCAGGTCTGGATGGGTCAAGCTAGGACATGGAGATCCAGCTTCAAAGCCTCAGTCAAGATGACATCCTCACCTGAATGTCTAAATGTATCTAAATGTGTGCAAGTCGTAGTGGAGGCTCAGGTGGGTGAAGAGTGTGCAAACATGAGCTCCCCCTACCGGCCTGGCACCTGCGAAACCCAGTCTAGCCATTTGTGTCTGAGTTTGAAGCCACTCAGCATACCTAGTTGCCTCGTGCCAATTGTGCATAAGTGCTTCAAGAGGGAAGTGGAACTTTGTGACAGATGTCCATGCCGGAGCCCCAAACGTCTCACCAAGCTTTTGTATCCCAACAAATGGTCGAATCTTCCCTCGTTGAGCCCAGCAAGAATCACAGGGTGTCCAAAGGATGGGGATTTCAGCCGTGCCATTCATGAAGGCCTCACAGTGGTTCGCGATATGGTGTTTCAGCGCCCTGATGAGGGTCAGAAAGGTGGCGTCACAATGTGCACACTGAAGCTGGCCCTGAACTTGATCCCTGAACTTGATCTCCGGCTGGTTGAAAAGTCGTTTGAACCGTAGTATGCTGATATTGCACACTCATGTGTTGATGAAGTCCAGCTGCCGTAGCTGAGATTACCATCCTCATCCTAACTGTCATCCCCATCATCATCACCATCATATACCACCATCATGGCTCGATGATGGTGATGATGTTGCCAGTGGAGGTGATGGTGATGATGACGGCGATGACAGCAAGCATGATGGGGGACTTACATCATCACCATCATCATCATCATCATGATCATGATCATCATCATCATCATCATCATCATCATCATCATCATCATCGGCATGCTGACCATCACTCATTTTTTTTAAAAACAATCATCACCTTCATCGTCACCGTCAACTTCATCATCAACATCATTATTGTCATGATTCAACATTACAACACCATCACGCGCATCATCACCAACGACATGACAACGATTAGCATGAACGTCACCAGCGCCAAGGGCCAAGATCATGTGCATCGTATATCATCACCGTCGCCATGGCCGTCAACATCACCATGAAAATCAAGTAATGATCAATGTCATCATATATCATCAGGACCACTATCATCATCATCATCATCATCATCATCAACAACCTAAACAAGATCAACATCCCGTGGACTGTGACTGTGCCCGGGTGCCCGGATGTTCGTGGAGCTGAGTGTGCCTGTGTGCCAGTCTGTTTGCCTTGTGGCTCTTGAGCGGACCGGTCTCCTTTTCCGGTATGCTTGCGGCTGGTTGGGATCTCCTCGATTGAAGGCAACCAAGACCGGTGAGTACGCAGCAAACTTTTGAGCCACGTATGTTGTTGTCCGACATGCACGACATGCAGTCAAATGGCCAGCTATCAAGTTTTGGATTGCGTGGTGTTCGTTTTGTGTCGTAGTCGGGGGCCTTCGAGCGCCCGCCCTGCAGGACGATCACAGCGCAGACGCTTGACAGCCAAGTAGACCATACGGCTGAAACCTTGCGGATGCGCTTAGGCGTTCGCAGTGGAATGATCACTGGGAAGGATCTTCATGATGCAGCTGTGGCTTTGGGTCTTACCAGGTTCTCCTTGCAAGACGTGAACACTTTGGTCAACAAGCTTGCAGCTGCTTATCCAAAATTCAATAGCCGTCATGTGCAATCTCTGAATGCAATCTCCTGGGTGTTGAAGGTGTTTAAACAATAAAATGTGAGAAACCATTTCCCGTTCCAAAGAATCATGAATCATGAAGAATCGATTCCGAGGACTTTGTAGATCTGGAACTGGAACACCGGGACACAAAGGCTCGAGTGGCTCGAGTAGCTAGGACCAGCAACACAGCGACTACTCGCAGATCTGGCATGGGGTCTACTCGGGAGCATGGGACCAACATTGGTGGTGATCTCAAAAGTTTAAAGCCACAATGGAAGTGGCCGGACGATGCAAATGAAGTGGGCTTTTGGAGGTCCAGAACTCCTGCAGAGAATCCTGCTCGACAGTGGAATGTTGTTCCTTTTCGTGCCTTGGTTTTGGCCTTTGTTTTGGATGCTGATGCAAGGAAGATCTTCGGGAGCCTCGCACTGAATTAGATCCTCTTTCTCCTGTGCATGCAAATGGCACCAGAAACATGCACGCATCGCATTGCAAGCCACGGGCCACGAGCAGCTCCTTTTGACTCTTTTTGTTGTGACCTAGGTCATCCGCTGAGCATTTTTGGGCAATGAAAGAGATCCTACTCGCGAGTGACACAAACCGGCTTGTTGCAGAACTCACATTTGTTTCCTGGCACATTCAACCACAGATTTGTGTTTTGCGGTGGCGATCTGAGTCATTTCTTGGGATATGGAATGGAGTTGAAGTGCTGAGAGTTTCCGCAGTTCACAGAAAAGCGAATCCTGATTGAACACGTCTTGGAGACCGTTTCTACTTGAGACCATGATCATTTGTCCAAGCTCGCCCTTGTTCAGGTTCGCATCAATGACCTGGCAGCTCCTCAGACTGCGCGGGATCCCTTCTTGTTCCTTGAGCCCTTTGTTGCGATTATGATCACCATCAATGCTGTGCTCTTAGGAGTCCAGACAGATGCTTTCATTTGCAACGAAGGACTTTTCCAGCCCATCTATTAAAAGCAAGAAACTAACAAGAGCAACTGGTGCGTAAGAGTCTATTGTACACCCTTCCCTTCATAGCTCAATGTACACTAAGGCAGGCAGGGGCTTCATTAGCACACTGGATTACAGAATGTCCCGAAGCAGCTGTTACTATACACATGGAACCATTTTATCACACATATGTCACATAAAACATAAAATTTGTGTGTGTGTCTGTCCCTGTGTAGTGTCACTATCACACACAGATTCGGAAGTCATTTGTGCAGAAGTTGTCAAACTTCTTATAGTTCTGGTGTGTTTCTTCCGCTGGCGGCGGACTGCATGTCCAACACTCTTCAGGGATGGCAAAGTTCGATGCGTTTATTACTATTATTCTCTGCTCAAACCGCTGTTGAACAGGATGGTTTTATTGTGCGCTTTCCCACTCCTGCAGAAGTAAATGCAGTGTATGATGCAGTAATTGTTCTTAAAACCTTCGAGATTGCCAATAAGGTGGTGAACTTTCCATGTGAAGTGGCATTCTCATCTAAATTGAAATTTGCCAAGTTGCGCAGGGGCTTTGAAACACCACAAAGAGAAGTGGGATTCTGCACAAATCACTTGGACAGTGGACAAGGTTGCTTTGCCTAGAAGCTCCCCACTTGGGTCACGGTCGTTCCCGCCCCAGTCCTGAGATGGCCGTTTTCACAATGAAACAATGTTGATCAAAATTGCAAGTAAAATTGCATATTGTCCATTTCTTTGCACAAAGTGGGCCCAATTCACCACGGACTCCGTAGACCCACAGTGTCCGACCCATGAAACGTCAGAAACCGTTTTAACTCGTTGCGACGCTAAGCTGCTGAGAGTTGCAACTCAGCAGGGCCTCCCACCGCTGAGACCTGACTTCAGGGCACCCGGGAATGGCATTGCGGGGCGATCTTGGGAGCCGAGGATGAAGCACTCCAGGAGTGGCCCGGCTGGCCCTGGATCGAGCTGGGCTTCACGGCCTTTATGTTCTGTGAGGCCTTCATCAGGCTTTGGATACTTGGGCAGCAAGAGTACTTCTGTGGAATTGAGTCCAATTGGAACTATTTCGACCTCTTCCTGCTTGTCACCAGCATTGTCGCTTGGAACAGTGGGAAATGGTTGGACGGGCGGAGACGATCCTTTTGCGGGTGCCAGTTGGTGAGAGGAATGTTTGGGACTTTGTTTGGTGCGCACCGCAAATGTCAAAGTAGCCCGCATGCCAAATGCACTGATGATACCGTGTTTCAACAGGAATTCGGAATGCGCAGCTTTGCGTTCGTGCGTGCTATACGCCGTACGCACCACTGATGCCCAATGAGTAGAGTCTACAACTCACCAAGTTGAGTTTCCCTCAAATCTAGGAACCAAATCTCTAGGGTCTGGAAGCTATATACTAGGGGCTCCTGGCATCGCTACTAGGAACAAAGATGCTATCAGGGGCTCCTGGCCTTACTACTAGGAACAAGGAAGCTACTAGGAACCAAATCATTAGTGCGAGCGCTTCATCAAGGAAGCTCTCCCACGCCCTCAGGCAGGGGGAGCTTCCTTGATGGAGCGTGAGCTATCCTGCACTCAGTTACTAGTAGCTTAAGTAGCTAGGAGCGAACTTGTTGCCCTTAATTAAGTAGGCGCCTACTGCCTACTTAATTAAATTAAGTAAGGAGGCAGGGCCACGGGCTAAAAGCAGAAAGGAAAAAGAGTCCGCGGATACCGAGCTCCTGAGGTGGATGTTTGCATGACTTTGATCACTGATGCATCGGCAGAGTCTCCAACGCAACTGCTGAGAGCTTTTCGCTTGGCCAGGCTGACCAGGATGTTCAAGGCTACTTGGAGCCATAACAGCTCTAACGTTGTTTAATAGCGCTCGGTTTACCTTGTATCAACCTGTGGAAAGTCGTATCGGGGGGCCGTGCGCGTGGTGCATCATGTTGATATGTTCAAAGTTGTCTCCATATTCCTAGCGGTAGCCGTGTATCTTTTGGTGATCTCGACTCAACCTCTGCTGCTGCTGCTGCTGCTGGTTTGCAGCTGCTCATGCACTGCTTGTTTGCTTGCTTGCTGCTGCTACTGCCCCATTGGTGCAAAATTCATTGATTTCGTCGCCGCATTGCTTTGCTTACATTGATTGCTACATGCTATTCGGTTGCATTGGAGTTTTTGCATGGGGATCACTCTTCGCCTGGTGTAATTTAAGCTCGGTGCTTGTAGCATCCATTCCTAGCACTTGAAAATACACCAGAGAGGACGAGGGAAGATCAACGTGGTAAACAAGTCGCTGTTCAACAAGTGTCCCCAAACAGCAAACCTCGCTTGACAACATTTGATCTCATTTGGACCATTTGGGACTCTTGTTTGGCTCAAAAGGTTGCAGCTGAATGTGTCCCCCTTGGGGTGTTTGTTTTAACCTTCAATTCCTGAGGGATTTTTGTGGTTACTGTGCTCCACCTGACATGATCTGACATGTATTCCCGATGACACTCATGCACGTAGCGCGTTGATGCACGTGGCCTTCCCGCTTGCAACAGCCAGTCAAGGATAATATATAATAGACATATAGTATTTATATAGAGGAATTTTATCCAAGCACCTGGATTTAGAATCATTTGAGGGTCACTGAGGGACTGTGACAACGAATGCCAACACCATATATAGATCATTTGGGGCCCATTAGTGACAGTCGGAGGCATTGTTGTTGGCCACTTTACGTGTCACACAAGAAGTCTGCAACACATGGCCCAGGTGTTCCGTCTCAAATTCATCAAGGCAGGGGATTCTGTCGGGGGACCGTTTGTGCAAAGACAAGCAAGTTTCGGTCTTAGAGACTGAGCTCTTCAGGAATTACAATTGATGGTGAAGGGCCTCCTGGGTGGGCTTCGAACCCTCGTGTGCGCATTTGCATTGCTCTTCGTGGTGCTCTATATCATTGCGGTCTTCGCCACGTTCACCATTGGTCGTGCACCCGACCTGGATGGCAACTTGCAAATTCTTTTCAGGCTGGGATTTGCAGAGGGGTAGCTAGGAAAACTTGACTTGGCGGGAAGCCAGCAAGGCCGACACAGAGAAATCGAAGCATGAAGGTAGTATTTAACTGCCAAGAAATTATTGCAAGCAGAAGAGGCAGAATGTAGGAATACCAACAACGATCTGGGGGCGAAGTGTATCCATCACCGCCATTCGATCTCAAACTTGAAGAGCCAAGTGTTTCCCATCCTTTGGAATTGCGACGCGTTCCAGACTTGATTCGATCAGTCTTTATGGTCAAGACGAGTGCTGGTCATTTGAGCTTGTGCTTTTCACGGGATCACGGCCGCCACGGCCTTGCACTTTCGTCCGAGGGTCAAATGGGTTTCCACAAGTCGCAATCAGAATCCATTTCCCAGTTGTGTCGCTTCTACATGGTCAAGCTCGAATCATGAATCTGAATCGACATTGAGTTTGATACACGAGCTCCGCCAAATTCGGTCTCGGTGGATGCAATTCACCAATCTCAACCGGAGGGGGTATGTTTACAGGATTTAAAAGGTAAGCCTTGGGTTGCAACTGCGAGAAGGTAAAGGCGACGGGGCAGCTGCACGAGATAGGGGTTGCATTCCTCTGTCCTTAAGCGAAGGGTTCTTTCAGATCTACAATGAGACTGCCGAAAACCGAGCAAGGCATAGCAAGGCCGTCCAGTTGTACTTTTGTTTGTTTGAACTGGGTTCCATCAGTAGGCAGCACCCTCCTTGGTTGTAGCGAAGCCAAGCGGAACTTGAACAGGTCTGTGCCCTCGACCATGTTCACGGCTTTCCGCTGCTACTCTGGCGAGTGCATAACTGAAGAGGGCTTTCCAGTTGCGTTGCTGCTCTCTGAAAATGACCAGCTCCTTTCCTTCAAGATTTTCGCTCAGCAACAGTCCAAGGTTTCAAGGTCCAAGGATGTGCAAAGCATCAATTCCACGGTGTATGGTGGTTAGTCAGCAGGGAGGACAGGAGTGACAGGAGTATTTTTTATTTTCAGGTGTTTTGGTTCCTGCTCCTTGTGATATGTTGTGATCCATTTTGTGCATTTTGCTCTGAAGAAGAGTTCACCGCTCGAAGCGTAAGGTTCGGAATGATTTTTGTGCTGCTCTACGTTGCAGGATACATGCTGGTGACCATGGGCACCTTGCTAGTTGGTTTTGTATGGTTTTGTCCATTACTGCGACACTTGCTGCTTCTTTGGGGCATACGTGAAAAAGCATCGGCCCCATGGTGTTCGTACTGGATCTCGGGAACAGTTTATTTACAACATATATTAAACAATTCAAACAACTACATACACACACATATACACATGTATGTATGTATGTATGTATGTATGTATGTATGTATGTATGTATGTA